GATGAAGTCACCAGATACCAAACTGGACGCTACATAAGTACTTCTGAAGCTATATGGCGAATATTAGGATTTTCTATCCACGAACGTCCTCCCACGGTCACACACTTGGATGTTCATTTAGAAAACGGGCCAGCGAGTGTATTTTGATCCTGAAAATGTAAGAGAACGTGTAGAAAATCCTCGGCAAACTAAACTTTTGGCATTTTTTAAGCTTTGTCAAGAAGATGATTTTGCTAAAACGCTAACCTACGATGAAGTACCGTCCTATTACACTTTTGACATGCAAAGACGTGTTTTTAATCGACGAAGACGCGGTCAACCAGTGGAAGGATTTCCAGGAGTTTATAGAGATGCTGCACTAGGGCGAGTATATACTGTTCATCCTAACAATAGCGAATGCTATTATTTACGCATGTTGTTGCATACAGTTCGGGGGCCAACTTCTTTTGGCCTATTTAAAAACAGTTAATGGCGTCCAATACGCAACATTTCAAGCGGCTTGCCGGGCACTTAATCTTCTTGAAGGAGATCAACACTGGGATAACACCCTCGAAGAAGCCTGTGTCAGTGATAGTCCCAAACGTTTACGTCATTTGTTTGCAGTGATGTTAGTGTTCTGTGGTCTATCGGATGCTCTAACGCTGTGGCAAAAATATAAGACACAATTATCCGAGGACTTTCTACGCTTGCTTCAACGCAATTCAGACCAGCAAATAGATCCAACTGACGATAGGGTTATAAATAGTTCACTTTTATGTATACAAGACATAGTATTTTCGATTGGGGGTAATTCCTTGACCGACTACGGCCTGCCTAATCCTCAAACTCTACCCAATCAACCACGGGTAAATCGTGAATATAATTCCGAGACGAACTACAATATTGCTGCGTTAACCACCACTGTAAATGATCAGATTGGTTGTTTTACTGTAGAACAAAGAAATATATTCGATGTAGTCATCCAAAGCGTAAATAATAATGAAGGGAATTTATTTTTCTTGGACGCTCCAGGTGGAACGGGAAAGACTTTTTTGATAACAGCAATACTGGCTGAGATTAGGCGGCAAGGTAAGATGCACTAGCAGTGGCTTCCTCGGGAATCGCAGCCACATACTTCCTGGCGGAAAGACGGCCCACACGATGTTTAAAATCCCAATCGATTTAGACAGTAATGAGTCACCAACATGCTCTATCACAAGGAACTGTGATAAGGCGAAAGTGTTACAAGATTGCTGTCTGATCGTTTGGGATGAGTGTACAATGGCAAATAAAAAAGCCGTCGAAGCTGTGGACAGAACCCTACGTGATATTCGGCGAGATGAAAGGCCAATGGGCAACGTCACACTGCTTTTTTCTGGTGATTTTAGGCAAACACTTCCAGTTATAAGTCGAGGAACTAGAGCCGATGAAATTAGAGCTTCATTAAAGCGTTCCCACCTCTGGCCTCTAATGAAAAAGCTGCAATTGACGATCAATATGCGAGCACAAGGTGGTAATTTACATGCCCACGAATTCTCAGACATTCTTTTGAAACTTGGAGAAGGTACTCTTTCTGAAGAACATGGTAAGGTGACGCTTCCAGAAACAGTTTGCCGAATAGTTTCTTCAGAAGATGAACTTATAAATTCTGTATTCGGTGACCTATCACATATAACATATCAGGAAAATTCTTGGTTATGTGAACGTGCGATACTCACTCCCAGAAATGACCAAGCTGCTGCAATAAATCAAAAAATTTTATCTGAAGTGATTGGGGATGACGTCGTTTATACGTCTTATAATAGCGTTCTCAACCACGACGATGCTACACATTATCCTGTTGAGTTTCTGAGTTCGCTTTCTGCAAGTGGTCTTCCTGCGCACATAATTGTGCTTAAAATAGGTGTACCAATAATGCTGCTGCGTAACCTTACTCCTCCAAAATTATGCAATGGTACACGACTAAAAGTAACTGCTCTACAAAGAAATTTAATCCAAGCTCAGATTCTTACTGGATGTGGCTCAGGGGAAACTGTATTTATTCCACGAATCCCACTCATCCCTAATAACTTTCCATTTGAATTTAAGCGCACACAGTTTCCAGTAGCCGTTTGCTTCGCCATGACTATAAACAAATCCCAAGGTCAGACTCTCAGGACTGCTGGTGTCGACTTAAGATCTGATTGTTTTTCCCATGGTCAACTGTATGTGGCTTGCTCACGAGTAAGCAGCCCAGACAACCTTTTTATTCTAGCACAAGGCGGTAAAACGGTTAATGTCGTTTATAAAGAAATTCTTTAAAGTATCTCCATTATTTAACTTTTTTTTTTAATTTGCTAAATTCAAACAAGTAATTAAAAAAACTAAAAAAAAACATTTTTACTTTATGCATATATCATAAACAAGTGGAAAACTAATAACGGTTTTTAGATGTAAGTTTTATCTCTATGAAGAGCTCTTCCAGCCATGAAAAAGGTGAAAAAAGTTGCAAAAGTATACTTACTCAATATAAAACTCAATATACTTCAAGCCCTGCCAATTTAGATAGTTTCCCAAAAGTTCTAAATTCAGAATATCATAAAGCAATTTTTAACCAACAAAAGAGAAGAGAAAGCTTAGGACAATCAAAATTCCACGCGGACGAAGTCGCGGGCGGCCGCTAGTATACTTATATATGTACAGTATATGTATTCTATCCGTTACCCTAGTATCCCATAACACAAGCCTTATAGTGCTTACTTTGGGGCTAGGCTAATTGGTGTTTGTGTTGGAAATATTTAAATATTCATATTCATTTAATATTTATTTTTACATTTAATGCACCAATCTGTGCTTGTTTTTTTATTGTATTTAGCAATATTATAATTTAATTTTATTAGTCTTTTTAAGTTGTTAGTCGTATACATAATGTTCCATGTTATCAATTTATTAAATTGGAAGTCTGAATAACGTAGTTATGTTTTAAGGAGCCTATGATTGATCAAAACCGAATGGTATCCAAGCTCAGATCGCCAGTCCGAATGCGGTGACAGTTGTACAGACAATACCTCATCCGTGCTTACACTTTAACAATCAACAGCGGTTTTATTTCGTAGCAACAACAACTAAATTCACAATGTTTGCGAATTGCTTGTAATTTAATGTTTGTAGGTACTATCTACATATTTTATCTCAAACCTTCATTATTCCCAGAGAACGGATCGGTTCGTATTTTACTACAGACGGGCCGTGAAGTTATTTTTGGGATTACCGACAATGAGTAAGTATTGTCTTTACAGAAAAAAAAGAGTTCACAAATAAGTCTGCACGTCACGCGTGTCTGTCACACTGCTGTGTAGGAAGGAGTGAAGGCAAACAACGTTATTTTTTCATTTTTTCTAAACATACCTTTCTACAATTTGAAAAGTTTGAAAACAAACAAAACAAAATCTGCCTCAGCTTGTTGACGTTAAATATGTGTTAAGTTAAATATCTTTTTCGTACCACTTGCTCCAAAAAGTGACATTCATGCCACAAAAAGCGAATATAACAATAGTCATTTTTAATCTGTTAAAAACAGGGAAAGAAAATTGTACTGAATTTCATTCATCCCTCTAAGGGGAGAACGTGATTTAAATTTGGAATACTTACCGAAATTTATACTGAACTACATCTGTGTTTACATCATTGAGTTTGTATATAAAGCATTATACATCTTTTTGAAAAAGGAATACGCATTTTGTGCTTTTTGTGCATTATTAAATAAAATTACGAAAACCGACGAGGCCGTATGAGCTTGATGCCTTTGCTTTTCCGACAAAAAATATATTAGTCTAGGAATTTGCCGCGTTTTTGTTTTCTTTAAATACATAAACGTTAAGTTTATTTTTATAAATAAGTTAATGTTCTAAAAATACGTTACGATGTTAAATGAAAGCGACAGTGACAGTGAATTGTCGGATTTTACAATGCAAATGCATAAATAATTTGATTCCAACAAAATCCAAGGAAAATTAGTTGAAAACGTATGAAGAATTTTCAACGTGGAGAAGTGCGAAAGGCCTATCAATTTTAGAATCAGTACTTCTTGTCTATTTTGATTATTTATCCAAGACAAATAATCCGAATACACTTTGGTGCATATAGTCAAAACTGAAAGCTACAATAAGCACAAAACACAGCTTATCTCATATTATTATTGTGTTAATTTTTTCGCAAATGATACGAAAAGTAGAGTATTTTCCTCGGTAATAAAGCTGTCTTAGTCTTGGGTGAACTTAATCCCTCGCTACTCTCAAGACTCGTCTTAAATCCCTCGCTTCTTTCGTGATTTAAGTTTTTTACACCCTCGCTACGCTCGGGAGTAAACCTCGAGTCCTTCGTTACGCTCGCGATTTAAATCGTCGCCTGCGACAGAAGATACTACTTTATTCCCTTGGTTAATAATCTACTATTTAACGCCCCTTCGAACATCGAAAAGATGAAATATTGCTGGTCGCTTATGAATTTTTCATTCAGAACTAAGCAATATACATAACCAGTTTCATAATATTGTTACAGCTAATAGCAAAACCATAAACACAGTAGTTAAAAGTTAAACTAGCACCGTTATCGGGTGCCACAACTTGATTAAAATTGTATCAATGCAAATCTGTCAAATAAACATTTCGAATAGACAAAAAGTGTCTTATTTGAAGGAAAACCTCACAAATTCATCCAATTTAATATTTAATATTGAGCTGACATGGTTACAGATATATGTCGTAACCATTGTAATCTCCAACAATCCTTTTTGCCTAAATTATTTTCTTCTATCCTGTAGAGCTGGGTAACCTTATTCACTATTGAATAAGGTTAAGGTGAAGTCTGGTAAGTTTTGAACTCACCTCTTCGCGTTTTAGCCCCTGCCTTGTAGACTACTAATAAAAATTCGTTTCTCCGCCAAAAATATGCCTTGATAATATTCGTCTGTAAGTGTCGTAATGTTTAAAAGGGCTTACTCGTTGAAATCAAAATGTTAATTATATCGTTTGATTTGTTACCTGCAGGCTGGTGTAGGATGCGTGTTTGCGACCTCCGATGGAGAACCTGAATCCTTTTTCGTCGTGCACGTGCTTGTGTCTCAGCAAGAGAGAACGCATCACCACCGGCTTGTCGTCTTCGTCGATCAACTGAGATTCCACCATACTCTCTACGACCCTGGGGATAAGGTATACATCAGCATGTTAATCATTTTATGTAGGGCTGGATTTAAGGCAGGGCAGGGGGGGCTGTGGCACAGGCATCCCACAAGGGATGGGCGCTCCCACAACAGAGATAAAAATAACTAAATTTCGAATAAGGTTGATGACTTATTTTTATTTCACGAACGTCCGAAATCATAGAACATCTATAACAAGTTACATACAGTGCAACTTCTTCCTTTTCGGTTTTAAAGTTTTACGGAGTTATTCTCAGTATGACATTTCCCTTGACGTGACATCGAAAATTGGGCTAATTAGGGCGAATCTTCACCACGTCGCGTTTTAAATGCGGATGAATAACTGTAAATATCTTCTGCAGTAATATGCATACCTGTATGCCACACCAGGTAAGTCCTTCTCTTCTAGGTCCAGCAGAACAACGCCGGTCTCTAAGCATCTTCGTAGGTTGAGCAGCGAGTGGAAAGAGAGCGATGCCACGTGAGGTTTGCCCCACCGGTGGGCACCTTCTTCTACATCCTCTTCGTATTTGATCCAGCGAGCTTTCTCTTTCCACTCGGACTCGCCATCCGCTTTCGAAAATAGCTCGTCCAATTGGACGAAAACCTAGGGATGGGTTAACCAATAGGTTACATGAAATTTTCGTTTGCAAAGGGCCCTGGAAAAGTGCTACAGAAAAACTTATGCCACGAGTTGACTCTTATTTGGCGTAAAGGCTCCTTATGAAGTTCTTGGTATCAAGGCTATACTTAATGAAAGCATTACAGAGATAAATTTATTGAAATATCGCATGACGTCACGCTTTGGTACAATTTTTACTTAGAAGTGACGTCACTGCCAAAGTGTTAATGAAAATACTGTTTTTTTCTTGTATAATGACAATATTGACGTTTATTTCTTAAAATTTCACGAACATTACTCATTAAATTAAACACACTTCAACGGGTTTATAATGCGTCTTTTTATTATTTATTGACTTTTCGCATCCTGAAAAAGATGCGTCAGGGGGTCAAAATTCTGAAAACGTATCTTGAAAAGAATGCGAAACATCAAAATATAATAAAAGGATTCATTATAAACCCTTTTTAATGTGTTTCATTTAATATAGACGTTTTAAAGGATGTGAGGACTTCCTTCTTCCACTCGTCATGCCATCGTACATCAATTCAGAAAACCTTCGTTATAAATTATTGTAATAGACAATGTCATTATAATATATCTTAATTTTCAATAAATCCAGCTTGGATAATTTGCGATTATTAAAAACTTTATAAATGGTATTTATAAAAGGTAGGTTTCAAAATTATTTCTTAAATATTATTTTGTCGTATTTATTAATGGTTTAATAAATACGACAGCATAATACAAGTAATGATTTTAAAACCTAGTAAAGTGTCTTACCGAATGTGGACTTTTGTCATAAACTTTCTTGTACGTGTCTTCTGGTAGAATGTTCTGGAGCTTGTCTCCTCCATCTTTACGTCCAATGTTTACCGTGGATGGCTGTCAGAAAAAAATTACCATTAATATTATGACTCCCCATTTGTTTAGCATTCATCTCTCCGCACTGGGCAGACGTTTTAGGGACATGGCGCAATCTATTCCATCCATAGGAAAGGCATGTATCCTAGCAGTGGGGACATAATAGGCTGATGTCCTACCTTGTCACCGTGGCGTCGCGGTGAACGCGTGTCCTCGCTGCGATGGGTGTTCATTTCATCCTGATCCATCTCAGGCAGGGGCTCCTCAGCCGGGGCGATGGACACCCGCCTCTCGCTGCTCATACCGACGCGTGAACCTTCTTGCAGGGAGTATTTACGGGACTTGGGATGGTGGAGGTGGCGGCTGCAAAATAACCTCGTATTAGAACGTTCGTTTACTTGGATGAAAGTAAGATACTTTATTCAAATTGAGTAATTGATAACTCTTTTGAGTCATCCGATATTTTTTCCTACCAATCCGCCATCTTTTGGGCTATGAGAAAAACGGCTGTAAGATACTCATCAGCTTTTATGAGAAGTAGCAGAAAAATTATATGGTTAACAAAATAAGCTAATTAAGTATTTAATTGATGTGTCAATATAGTCATACGACAATGATGTTGACTCTGGTATAATTCTCTAAACCTCAAATTGAATTTTACAACAGTGCAGCCTTCTCATCTATACATATATAATGATAGGAAAGTCAAAACTGTGCATTGAATATTTTTTTCAAAGAATACTTGGAGTGTGATCTACAATTGATACCGAAGCCAAAAATAAAGTTTTTAGAATTTTGTCTGTTCGTCTGTATGTATGTCCGGGATAAACTCAAAGAGTACTGCATGGATTTACTTTAAATGAAGTCGGGTCAACATATAGGCTACATATTATTATCATGCTATCACCTACGGGGAACGAGCTGTGAACCTTTATTTCTAACTAACTCCACTTGTACGAAGTCGCGGGCGACCGCTAGTCTCTATACGGAAGGAAAAGCAGAGACTGCTGTAAAATTAATTTTAAGTTGAGGGAATCATGCCAGAGTCGACACATTGTCCTCTTATGCTGCGTTTCCACTTAATTTGTTCGCTCGGTAAATGTAATGGTCAGAGCAAGTTTTGCTTTGAAAACTTGCTCTGACCAGCGTTGTTTCCACTAAAGATTGAGCAAAAAGCATTCGTTCACTAAGTCTATTCAACGATCGTTTAACGAACTCGTTCGCTCGTTGTGATGCTTCCACTAACCAAGCGAGCAAATATTTGCTGGCTCAGCATTGTGCTGAGCACTAAGTGAAAATGCTGCATTAATGAGCGAGGTCTTCTTTATTCTTAGATGCTTCGATCATTGAAGTTATCTTGGATTCGTTTATATCCTTTGTTTATCTATCAGAGGGATGTGTTTTACTATTTTCCCCAACGTTTAGAGTAATTTGAAAAATGTTTCATTGCAAAGTTTGGATTCTTTCGCGGCAATGTTCTAATTTACAATATTAGCTAATTCTCCTTTCTTTATTTTTTCTTTACATAATCTTTAAAGGCATGAAAAGTTTTAATGGCTTTTTTTAAAATTATAATCAATCAATTTCAATATTAAAAATCCTAGCCAGATTCCCATAAATTGGTTTTTGGCATAATTTATCTTTCATAATTTTATATTCAAATAATGGTTGCACATAAAGAAGATATTAGTAATTTCCTTTTACAAGTAGGTACATGCTACTGTTGCCATAATTTCTGAAGTATTTTTTTATCATATTATTATCATGTTTATTATCTACGAGATAGCTGTTGAAAAATACCAACTGATTGATGGATTTTATATTACAAAGAGTGATATTTGAAATACCTATACTATACATTGACGATTGCAGCTGTATATTCATATTCATGGCAAAATTAAAAAAAAAACGATAAATGAAGGTTTTTTATGTTACGTAAACAAGTGTGTAACGTACAAACTTGTCAACTGTTTTGATCAATAAATTTTGATAAATTTCGGCCTTTTTATAGATAACATAGTTACCACCAGAAGTAGAATTTAGAAAGACTGAAAGGATGTTTGTATCTATGATAAATTATTAAAATTTAAATGCAACGAATTTGTTATTACTTTCAGCTTTATCTATATAACTTATCTTATTTACAACGATCATACTCATTCGAATTTTGATAGGAAATAAAATGCATGTACCACTTTTCATGAAATTACTCGTGTTATCAATAAATATGAAGATAACTATTTTTTTTTCGTTCGTACATAAGACTGATAAGATTTTTATGAGTTAATTAAGTAAAATTTCAATCATATAAACCATTTCTTATGTACGTATGTCTACCAAAATATTTTGTATTTTTATAATTAAACCTAGTGACCCACCCGCCCTCGTTTTGTTTCAGTCTAGACTATAGTTTTAACCTTAAATATTAGTTTAGAAATCTATCGTGTGAATATACGGTCACTAGTTTTTTGGATCATCGCGAAAAAGACAGATGTGACTTCGTTTTATATACGTTTAATATGCAGAGCCTAACGACAGCATCACACCTTACCCCATCTTATTCACATAAGAATAAAATAAGAAGTACGAATTAAGTTCAAAATATATAACAAGAAAAACTTATATCCGAATTTCCTGATGTATATTCATCAAGAAAATAAATTTTAGCAATATAATTTATACAATCAATACTTATCTTTTTTCTCTTCTCGTTTATATTATTCGCTTATATTAGGTGCTTTCCCTATAACAGAGTTATCAAAATGTTTGTTGCACTTCTTTAATATTTGAGAACTAGGGTTGAGCTTTAAATTTATGGACTTGATATGCATTTATGATTGATGTATTAAACAAGTAGACTCCCAATCGCCTAAAAATGTGTATCAAAAATGTGCAAGCGGCGCTGTGTTATACATATAAGTAACTTTCGGATTTCACCTATTTTTACCAAAATAAAAAACCAAGAAGGGCAGTTCACTAGTACACATATATTTATATAATGATTGAGTGAAAACGTTACCGCTTAGTGGTTAACTGATAGGTTGGCGAAAAAGCCTCTTCGCATTATAGTACGTAAGAACTTGTTATAAAATCTCTTTGGCTATACCATTTGTATCTGGCTGGTTTAAGTATCATTAAAAAGTTAAAATTTTAAAGAAGATAATTCCAAATTGAAATTATAAAAATGTGCGATTTTCATTTGTTTTTCTTACTGTCAAGATGAGTGAATATCATGGAGGTTAGAGAGAAGGAGAACAATCGCTACATGCAAAAGCATTAGCCCGCCTGTCCCTCAAAATTTGTAGAATTTAAAGTTCATTTTCAGCCACCCTTTGCGCGGCCCTCGGTAAGTAGTATCTGTTTATGAGTACAAGTAGATGAAGTTAGTTGAATGATGTACAAATTTTCTTCGCGGCATTGGTCATTTCAAATTAGCGCACAACAGCCCGCTTATACATTGAGATAACTTAGCGATCGCAGTGCCTCACTTATTTTGTCCATATTTCTGGAACACTCTTTTCTACAGCGATCGTTCTCCTTCTCCCTACCATGGTGAATATAATGAAGAAATTAGTAACATTTTAAAATGTTATTGCAGACTAAATTAAAAATCCAAAGCAAGCAGCGAAAAAAATGTGATGTTTACGGACCTAGTGCAGTGTCTGGCACAAATGGTTTAAGCGTTTTCAATCCGGAAATGACAATGACAGATTCTGACCCACCATATACAGTAATATTAAATTTATGAAAAAATATATACGACTTTTTTTCTCGTACCGATTTAATTATTACTTTGTAAAAGCGGCGGATACGAAATAAATATTAAAATAATTTGTATCTACTGTTTCCGTTAGGAGAAGAACGAAAATATGGCATATGCGTTTTGTTTCACGACAAACAATAAAATGCCAGTCAAGTTTTCGAAAAATATCGTTCTCTTTTTTAATATTATGGATAAAATAAGCATTTCGGTTATAAATATAATTAATTTATGTTTATAAAAAAGTTTAACGATTATAGTACCTTGTATTTTTTATGCGCATACACATTATTAAGTGGTAGTACCTATGTGAAACTAAACGTTATTCTGGATTGATATCCTTTTGATTGACATTTCTGTCAAACAAAAGGATTTGTACGACATTATCGTTTGTGATTTGGAATCATGTTGAGATGCATAAATTGTTATTTATGTGTCGATAGAATACAAAGGCATGTCGTTTATACACTATCAGCTACAATACGGACACTGTTGAATAATTTATAGAAATTCCAATTTTCTGCTCAAATTGCAGCTCGAGAAACGCATGATAATTGTACTCTTTGTAAGTATATTATTCAATAACCACAGCTTTTAGAGAATTTAGAACTTGACTATTTTGATTCCTAATATTACAGCTATGAAATGTCATTTATCGCATTCGTGTACACCATTTTTATCGGGTGGGTTAAACCTCTATAGAACTTCTGGCATTGTCCTTTGATGTCAAAAGATGCACGCCGCTCTGCTTGCCCCGTTACGGATAAAATGGAAGCCTATTTGAAAGTGCCTGACGAGCTCACTGAAAGAAATCTAATGAACCGTGTACTCATTCGTGATTATTTATTACGACTTAATCAAATCGAACCATTTTTGAAGAAGCTGATAAGTAGTGATGATAAGCGGATCACGTAAGACAAGAAACTTTAAAAAAAGGTCGTGATCAATGACCGGCCAGGCACAGACTCCGGCGAAACCCGGATCAACACGCAACAAGGTGATGCCGTGTGTATGGTGGGATTGGAAGGGCATTATTCACTATGAGCTGTTACCGTCAGGCAGGACCATCGATTCTGAACTCTACTGCGAACAACCGATAAGCATTAAGCAAGAAGTTAAGAGAAAGCGGCCGGAATTATTCAACAGAAGGGATGTTGTTTTTTAATCATGATAACGCTAGACCTTATACATTTTTTTTTAATAAAATCCCAAGAAATTCTATTGCAATGGAATAATTTCTCTACCTACAACATAGCAAAAAGTTATCGAACAAAATGGCACCTGCATACTTTAGTTAAATGTAAATAAACTTTACAAAAAAAACAATGTTCATATAAAATGAGACGAAACTTTTTCCCCAACCCAATATTATTATTCCTACAGGAAACAATAGACAGCCGTTTGACAGCATTTGTTGGCAATCTTACAATTCGCGTCGGGTAATAAGCCAAAATCTATTGCAGGGTGAATTGTGTTTATTTTTATAACGTAGTTTATTTAATGGTTGATCAATAGATGTTTTTTCCATAAATTAACATATCGATCTTAATGTAAACCCATTATTTTTAATAAAATAGTAGCTAATTTAAGTTAATACATAATA